TGTAGAACCTGGACTTTTAACCTTGAATCTCTTATTGGTTGAAATTTTGATGCGGTAAAATGTACTGTTGGGAACATTAATTTCCCATTAGATTTAGTTTTTGCTTTGTGTATCTAATTTTCTATTTTTATTTCAACGATTGCAGTGACTTGGTGATTTATATGGGGTGAACTCATTTGCAATCTTGTCTATTGTAAGAAACAAGTTGACTGCATCATTGAGAACTTTTCTTGGAATATATACTTGGAAGATAATTGACCAAAAGTGTACACTCCATCCTTTATTCTGTCCTCCTTTGAGCAAATGCAACGTTGGCTTTGTGACCAATCTTCTTGGTGCTTTTTCACATTTCAATGGTCATTTTATTTACTCAGGTATCGCCACGTAATAAAGAATATATTTTATGATGCCTTGAACTTCTTTGGTTCACGAATTGATCTTATTAAGAATGAAATTTTCATGTCTAATTCCACGAAATAGGAATAGAAGATGTTCTAGGAAATAAGGACCATGAAAGCCCATTTGATATCTTCCGGCAATAAGACTCCTCTTATGGGTGATCCATGACACTCTATTTCCCCTTTTTTGTAAGATTACTTTGTACTTTCAACTTTCCCTTTATGTTTTAGTGATGGATGACAGTAGAAATATTTTAAGTTCATTCAAAACTGATCACAATCAAAAACGGAGCACTCTTTGATTAAAATTATGCCTGAAAACCTAATCGACGAGAAAGGAAGGGAAAACAGATTTATGCATGGAAACCACATCGATAATATACAATACCAGTCATTGTGTCCACATCTGAGAATTGCGACTGAAATGTACTACACGAAAGAAATGCCATATAGACAGCAAGTAGACACATTACGAACATTAACCCATAACCATGTCCACCAAACAAGCACAGACTACAACACATAAAGTTCTCCCAATCACAACAAATACAGAGTTCTTCAAAGTGCTGAGATGTCCATGCCTTCCCCAGTAGGACATAACATAATAAAGGGGCAAGTGCTAAGATATTGCAGCAGACTCTGAAGCCATCTCCTGGATGAAAACAAGCATCAATTCCGAAATTTGAAACTTCACCACATCAGGCTTAGATTTTTTCAAGCTTATCAGCCTTTACAACAGGGTTGGCTTTAGCAATCACATCGCGTGCAGCAGTGTGGTAATCATAAGGGCAGTCATGTTTGTCTGAATAACGATGTACTGCACAGAAAAGGTGACCACACCGACAATTGAACCCTGTTAATCCAACTCTCTTGTTGCAAGTTCCGCAACGTTTTGGGCCTTCTGGCTTTGCCTCACCACTCCCTCCTGAACCTGAACCAAAGGAAAAGGATGGTTGTAAAGAGATAGTTTTTGGCTCCACCAGATGGGCTTGAACATCCACACCAGCAGCAACAACAGGTTCATTTCCATTGCTGTTTGATGTTCCATTGACAATGTTTCCAAAGGATGATGCAGCGAGCTTTGCCTGCTCCTCTTTCAACATCATGTCCTTGTGGCACTTGGAACACATATTCCTAGTAGCCACACTTCCAAAAAACCCACAATTGTTTATACACAATATAGGACCCTCGGGGTGAGGTTGACAGCCAGTCTCCTCATGCTCCATCTTTTCAACTTACCTGCAAAGAGAATACCTGAATAGGGAACCAACAAATCAATGGGGGACAGCTAAGTGATGTAAGATATAGGTGAATTGTAGATTTAGGCAGTTTAGCGGAAGCGAAAACAATGAAAACAGAAAATTAGATGAATAAAGATAGGTCTGGAATCACTCCAGGGTCTTCACACCCCTTGGCTTCACACCAGAATTCCAATATCTGGAAAATAAACTTTAATGCAATAACTCCACTCCGCTCCAATGAACTACATGGGGGTATTTATAGCAAAACCTAGAGGCAATAGGATAAAAAATCCCTTACTAAAACAGAAATCCTAACCCAAATAAATTAGGAAACTAGAAATCCTACTGAAATTTGGAAAACTAGAGAACCTAGGAAACTAATAAATGATGTCCACATCACTAAGAGTGGAAACCCAAACCCCACGCCCAATCTTCCTTTCAAGATTTGATTTCTAACGAAAACTACTGTTATTGTAATTTAATGCTAGTTTCATATACCATCGAGAAGACTAAACTTTTGTTGAAAAGACAACTTGTGATACTCTATCTGATTATCATGTCACATGATATCATAGAGGTCAGGCAGGACAACTCATCGTTAAATAGACAACATTTAGATTTCAATCAAGCATATAATAGAATAATATTGAAAATATTGAATGATGTTGAAAAATTTACAAATGCATTATTGTAGAAACCCAAAAGTACATTACACATGCCAATTCAATAAGCAATAAAAAAATAGCAAACTGTTATTTGTAGGCATATACACACATGTATTGGTGTAGTGTTAGAAACAAGATCTTTATTACAAGACTTGAATGGCCATTCCTCAAACCAACCATGTCACGTATTGTAGTTAAGCTACATAAACACCTACCAATTAACTGACAGCAAATATATACAGCAAAACTTTTTAAAAATGAAAAGAACAATGAATTTTTCTTCTTTTAACCTACTTATGTGTGCCAAACTTCAAATACAAAGCTCAAACTTTTAACCAATTAGCAATTCCGATAAACTCACAAATTACCCAACACCGGACCTTGACTTTCAAATGTTAACTATTGATCCAAATAGTGAAATCCACACCAAAAAAAAATCCCAAATTATAAATTTCCAAACGCTACCTCCCTTATCCCTCAAGAACAAGAACAGCTAAAATCAGAAGAAAAGAAGAAGAAAAAACCCTACTTTTTAGTCAGCTATACAAGCGCATATACATATGCATACAAAGAAACCCTACCCAATTAAAGAAAACCTCTGAAACAGATTCCTGAGCTCAGAATCGCATCGGACACCAGGCCCCTGTTCACCAAAAGAAACCAAAGAACCAAAAATTCAGAACAGGGAATCAGAAAATCAGTAAACGAATAAGAAGATCGAAAGAACCCCTCGATGAAAAGCCAATACAAGAAATTCAAAGAGTAAAGAAAAGGGCGATTTTCAAAACCCTAACCCTATCAGATTTTGGATCGCCGAGGACAGAGCGGAAAAGCTAGAGACGTGTTTCTCTCTTTTTGTGCTCGACGCTCCCTTGCTATTTAATAATTTTCTCTTTCTATTAAGAAACCGACGTGGCCGTATTTCATTGGCTTCCGGTCTAACCTTTATTGGAACAATTTTCCTCTTTTGTCCCTTTTGTAAAGCGTTAATAACCGCCTTGCAAGGTTGGGAATGCTGGTGAGGTTAGGTGTAGTGGTCGGTTAATCACAATGCTAATGTTGGGATTTTCTCTAACTTTAAAGTCAAAAACAATATTTTATATCAATCCCAATCCAATTCCTACTATAAAAATAATTGAAAGGAGCTCACAATATGCTTTTTTAACTCAAAATATCTCGTTGAATTGCCTATTTTTAGTTGGTAGATTATTACAGTACATTTTTAATGTGCAATTATGACCAGTCACATATTCATAACTTGTATCGAAACACAGAACTCTAGCAAAATATTGTATTTATCAAATTTAGTTTCAATATATAGGTTTGTAGGAGAAAAAGCTTAACAAATCTTAATTGGTTACTTATCTCTTACTCCTAACATTTTCAAAATCTCTATTTCTATATCCCCCTAAAATCTTGTCACTTTGCATATGTAGTGAGGTAAATGTCAAATTGATAAGACAAACGAAAACTGAAATATAAATGGCAGCTATATATATGCTTTTCATGCATCCTTGTACACTTAGCTATGGCCTACCTTGACAAGCTATGAATCTCATATGACTAGTGACACATCAACCACATGGTAGTAATAATGGTATCCATGGAACTCAAAATGCAAGCAAAGATTTGTCTTTGAAATGTATTTAATCAAACTCAGGTTTGCAATTAAACCTGTCACTAAAAGACCCTCTTTTCTTCCTTCCTTTGTGTTTGTCTCAAATCTTCTATCTTTTCATATACTTTCATGCCTAGCCTTTGCAATTCCAAAATCTTCGCCAACGAGAATTGGTTGAGTTGGTAAAGTTCGAGTCCTGCTATTGACAATCCTTTTTGGTTGGTAATTTATAAAAACTCAACAAACAAAAAAAGGCTAAGATCCCATTTATAAGTCCTCAAAAAGGTATTAGTATGTCATGGCCATTGATAGAGTGAAAGGAAGTTAAAGGTGCGACCATAAAAGAAAAGCAACAAATTGATTATGATCAATCAATTTAGTGCTTCTGTTGGACAATTGCGTTGCTTGATGAATATTGGAAATAGATGGCTTCACCAAAGGTGGTGTTTATTAGTATGTTTTACAAGATTTATCAAGAGAAACAGCAATTTGGTTATACACGCATAGAGCCTAATGAGAACTATATTAACATTAGCAAGACAGGTAATGGAACCTTAATTATAAAGTGTTTAGAACGTGATATTAAAAACACATTTCAATTCTGATGCCTCAGCCAGGACTGGATTTATTGTGTCAAACAAATCCTATCGGCCAAAATCTTAATGTCCTCCTGGTCGATGTTTTTGATGAACTTGGACTAGATCTATTGTGTCATACAAATCACATCGGAAGGGAAATAGTGGTAGGGACGTATTGCAAATTAAGCAAAGAGATTAAAAAGATAAAACACCAAGAATAAATAGCTTCATTTATTGGAACATATAATAATTAGTTACACGCAGACATCCTCCTTTTGATCAGTTGATTAGACACATTTAGTGCAAGTAAAAGGCCAACAAGGACAAGAGTGAAGCTCCCACCATAGATCCAACGACGGGCATGTTTGCAATGGAGCCACTAGGTGTCGGAGCAGATGCGGCGGTGGTAGCTGAGGGGGAAGGAGCCTCCACGGGGGCACCGACCTTCAGGCTTCCGGCAGCCATAGCTGCGGACATGCAGACTGCAACCATGAGGACGGCCAAGGCAATCTTCTTCATCTCCATTTTTGTGGGTGTGGTTGATATTGAGAAATAAGCCTTGGATATGGAAATGTTAGAGTTGTAGTTTGAACGTCCTGAGGAAAATAGGGTGGCCATGGAGGGTATATATAGCTCTCTAGCTATGGAGAGTTTTGGGTATTTTTGGAAAATAGAAGATCTGTTTGGGTCTAAAATGTTTATGGTTTGGAAGATTTTTGTGGCTTTTTTTGTGGAGTTGGTTGGTTTGTTGTGAATTTATGAGGGAAGGGTTCTTAGGTTACGTGTATGGTTTTGCATGAACGGCGGCTACTTAAGGGTACAACAAAGTACTAACAATGTCAAGATTTACAAGATGATAAAGACATATAACAAGGATGCTGAGGGTGTCAAAAGATTATATTAGGTTTGTTTTTTGCATTTTTACATGTATAAAAATGGAAAGGAACATCTAAAGACCTTGTTAGAGTTATTACTACCCCCAGTGGTTTAAACTTACATTTATAAACAAATGATTAGATGAGTAATGATCAAACGAGAGTCTTGTGACGGTTTCGAACATAAGCATAATAGAATAGGGACTTCTCTTGTGGCAAATATTATTTACTCTCACCTTCACATCACAATAAGTGTTCAACTCTAGCCCATAAACGGCTTTTAGCTCAAATTATGGAAAGCGTTTACCTATGCACCCGATGTACTGTGTTCGATTATCCCTCCCCAATATCACTTATATATCAAAAGAATGTTTTTTTTTATATCGCAAAACGTCCCTGAGGTTAACAAAACGGCTGCAACCTAATAGTTTCGTTAACTTCATGGACGTTTTGAGATAATAAAAAAATCAAAAGAATTTAGGCCCCATTTGACATTGATTTTTTTGGCCAAAAACCTACTTTACTTTAAAGTTAAGCAGTTTAAGGTGTTTGGTAAAAATAAAAAATCCTAATTACTTTAATACAAATTTATAAATAAACCCAATCCTAGACATGTATTTATAAAAAAAACTCAAGCACTATTTAAACATAGAAACACATCCAAAATCAACCCCAAAGTCAACTTTTTGGGTGTGTTTATAAATGGGTTTTGAGTGTGTGTAATGATGGGTTTTGGGTGTGTTTATATGTTTAAATAGTGTTTGGGTTTTTTTATAATTTCAACCCCCATTTTGGGTGTTTTAGTAAAACTCCCTTATTTTAAAAGTAGTGGCCAATGGCTTTTTGACAGCAGCTTTTAAAAGCAGGCTTTGTGCTGCTTTCAAAAGAAGTACAGATGAACCTTTAATGAATTTTTTTAATTCCCAAAATACCATCATTCATTTTAAAAAATGAACCACCACTTCCACATCCAATTCCACCACATTCACTACCTCCACAACCACCGCCACCGCACCACCACCACAACCACCACATCCTTCTCCTCCTCATCCTCCGCCACCACCACCACAACCGCCACTGCCTCCACAACCAACACCACCACCACCACCACCTCCAGAACCGCCATCCCAACTACCGCAACCACCAACTCCATCTTCATCACCACTTCCACATCCAACTCCACCACTTACACCACCACATTCACTACCTCCACAACCACCGTCATCGCACCACCACCTCCTCCACAACCAACACCACTACCACCACCACCACCTCCACAACCGCCATCCCAACCACCACAACTACCACAACCACCAACTCCACATTCATCACCACCTCCACTCCATCACTACCACTACCACCATATGATTAGTACATAATACTTTTAACATTATATCTATTTTAGTCATTATTCACAGTTACAACAATTTTATATTAAAATTTACCAAATGGTTTTGACACTTTTTTTTATACTAACAGCACTTTAAAAATATAGTTTACCAAACATAGAGCTTCTTTACTTTATAGCTAATTAATTTTAAAGCACAGCAAAAACAACCTTTTTTTAAAGTGACTGCAATTCCAAATTAGGCCTTAAACTCTCGACTTCCTCTTTTTGCAAATAAGGGCGGAACATCGTTTAGTTTTTCCTGAATTTTTCTTATACAACTTTAGCCCACCCATTAGCTCAACAGAGCATCCAACTCCAGCCCATTTTTCCAACGCTAACCCAACCCATATTAGAAACCCAGTTCCGACCATATTTGTGTCAATGGATATTATTGTTGTTATTACTTGAGGGTGTTATTTTCATTTCACCTATTAATAAACGTAGAAGACAAGATTTTTGTATGAAGTGCAAATAAGTAAAAAACATTTTCGTTTGGTAAAGCATCATATTTGAAATACAATTGTGTGTGGCACTGGCAACTTGCAAGGCAACGAAACCTTTTCTCCTTTCCTTTTAAAACACAACTTTTGAACTCAACGGTCCAGATATGGCTGCTTTTACAGAAGAGAAGACAAGCCGACCAAAAGAGCCGTTGTGTTGCGGGGACCACATAAAGGGAACACAAGGCTGGCATTATATCATGTCACCTTCTTATTGTAGGGGCCACAAGACGTAACGGGAGAGTAACGTTTCCACTCTCGTACGGAATTCATATTCCAATTTGAAAATTTTAAGTTTTAGTTACGAAAAGTTAAAATTGAAATTGAAATTTTAAGTCCTATAAATACCATGTTTCCCAGTCTCTCACCTTCCTCACTCTTCAATCCACCACACACACTCTCTCGTCACACTGCATTCTCTTTTTATTTTGGTCGAATAATCTGTTTCCTCTGTTCTCCTCTGTCTAGAAATGGCGCAATTTAGCAACTGCAAAGCTATGTTCTTGATGGTAATAGCCATGGTGCTTGTCTCAGTTACAGCTCAGGATACTGCACCGGCTCCATCACCGGCATTGGACGCTGGAGCCGGAACTCTGGTGACAATTTCCAGCCTATACATATACTCTCCGGTGCTCTTCTCTCTCATTGCGCTGCTTAGGCGTTAGGGAGACTTAGACTGAGACTACTATATAATTATTATGGTATTTTTTGTATTCTTTTCTGCATGTATTTGTTATTCCTTAATCTTCCTAATCATTGGTTATGGATGTTATATTGCCTCACTATAAAATTTAACACAGTACTTCAGTGTGAGTTTTTGTCATTTTTAGCCTTTATTATTGCATTTCTAACGCCCATGGATTCCATAGCCTCAAAGATGCAAGCAACCTAAACAAGGCTAAATGCCAGTAATTGAGTTTGATTAACTACTTAAAAACAACATCCTACTTCATTTCTGAGAGTCATGGCAATGGCCCTCGTCGTGATGAGGATTTTTCGGCAAAATCACATTTAAAACAACATAAAGAAGCCTGTTGTAACTTGCAAATCTGAAATACCTACTTACGGAAGTTCATAAAACTTGGTCATACCAATAATAAGTTATCATCCTTTGAGCTAAGAAACAAAATGCTCAGGTAGAAAAGCTTGCTAAAATTAGTGCTAAAATGAATCATCCTACGGTATTGACACTGCCATCATTCTCAATCACATGAGATATCCCTAACCTCACTAATTAAACAACTGGGGTTACAAGAGAAGTTTCCATTAGAGAATGTCCATCTGAAATCATCACTTTTTTGGGCAATAATGTCAATAGTGATGTGTATACGAATGGCAATTCCAAACCTGTTTGGGAAGATTAAGGTTTAAGGCTCTGTTTTGAGTTTCTGAATAGGCCTAAGTTTTGACTTCCAAACTTTTGACATTGTTGAGTGTACCCTAAAGATGCATTCATACTTCAAAAGACCAAAACATAAACCAAGATAACAAATTGTTCAGACAATTCATAACAATCAGTGATTCATGTTATTGAACACAAAAAAGGAAGATTTCTCTGTTCTCAATAATTCGAAACATCTCGAATGTAATTCTCAAAATCGAAGCCAGAAACAATAACTGGCAGCATTGCCATTCCCAATTAATGGCATTATTCATCAATAAATTGATATGAAACACTACAGAATTCATCATCAATGAGATATATCACTACAACAACAAAATTGGAACTCAAATTTCCAAACTTTTATCTCTCTTCCTCAACACCAATGCCTATTTCCGCACGGTCACCTAAGCTTAAATCAACTATCCAATTATCCAAGTGTAACCCATTTCTCCAATCAACTACTATATACTAACAAGAAGGAAATATCACCAAAACAGATACAAATTTTAGCTCTTACCCATCCATCTATTCGCTCTAGGGGTTTTCAGACTCTCCACCACCTGCCCGACCGGCCTCGAGCTTCTTCTTGTTCTTCTCGATCGCCTCAGCGACTTCACCGGGCATGTACTTCTCGTCATGCTTCGCCAAAACCTCCGTGGCGGCGAAATAGCACTCGCCGCTCCTTGCCTTCTCCGATACACTCTTCGTTGAAATCTCCCGTCGAATTTCATCCGTAAAAGGCTTGACGAAGCCCTCGACCACAACCGAGTGACCCTCCCGAAACAAATCGGGCAAGGAGCCCTTGTATCGGACCAATATATCGGTCATCAAATCGGTGACGACGAACTCCATCTCGGGCGACGAGGCGGGCTGGAGCACGCTGCCTTCGAGGACCAGACCGCCGACCCTGAACTTGCTTTTGCTAGGGTTTGCTGAGTATTTCTCTAGAGCATCGGTTGGGGTCACGTAGAAGACGAGCTGGTCTTGGAAGCTATTGAGGACGATGACAATGAAGCCCGCGATGCAGCTGAAGGTTAGTGCATAGGTCCAAAGGCGTCGGGTTTGGAGCTGGCGCGCCCGGCCCGCGATGTCGACGGGTTTGGGCCGGATCGGGCCGCGGCGAGAGGTGGAGAGGAAGCGGAGAGTGAACGGGAGAAGGAAATTTGTTGAACGTTGGAGGTGGGGATCGAGGAGTGGGGAGAAGTTCAACGGTGGAGATTTGATGAAGGGACGGGGGTGGATGGGGGTTGTGATGCGAAGGAGGTGGGATTTGAGGCGGAGGGCGATGCGATTGGCCATTGGGTTTAAGGGGTGTTTTTTTTCTCGGGAAAGTGATGGGAAGTGGGGGGTTTGGAGAGGTAGTGGCAGCCCTCTCTGAAGAGAAGCTTCGAGTTATTCGGCTACGGCAGAGTTGACGAGGGTTTTTCAGAAGGATATGAAGGGAATTTGGAAAATGTTAATTCTTTTAAAAATGTTAATTCTTTATGAACATAAGTTTAGGGGTAGGAGAGGTTACCCTATCCCAGGATCAAGGCATATCAAGACCTCTTTGAGGACTTACATAGAAGGTCTTAGCTCTTTTTTTTATTTTAACAAATCACCTACCAAGAGAATTATTGGCAGCATGACTCGAACTTAGGCTTGGATAGCGAACAAAACAATTGTTACTGACTCAACCGACCCTTGTTGGCTTCCATATTGTGATATTTTGAATGATCCACATTAACCCTAAATGTTGATTAAAAAAATTAACCTTAAATTTAAATTAGAAACTTTATTGAATTTCAACGTATGTTGGCGGTATTTGATGGTGAATTTCAATATAATTTCAACTTTATTGAAAATAGTTTGGATTTATTTTGGCGGTATTTGATGGATGATATGTTTCAATTTATCGATGATCTTCTGTTTTTAATGTGTGTTTTTTTTTTTCGTCGGAATCAAGTTTCATTGATAGAAAGGCAATGCCAATTACGAGATCGTGGAACTCATAAAAATGAGTCCAAACAAATGCAATAGTAAAAGCCCACTAGAAATAAAACTCAAACAAGTATAAAGCCAGAGCCCAAAATTGACAAAAAGTCAGAGTACAAAACTAGCATAAAGCCAGAGCAACCAAAAGCAAAAACACCACCAAACACCAAAGTATCGCTGCTGCTGCTTCCATGAAGACCGAGATATCGCCATCAGGACTAGTGATGAGTGAAAGAACTGCAAACACACAAAACAAATACAAAAACTACAAATCTGAAAATCCCTCACAATACATAAACCGGCCATCAAAGACTCAATAACTACTACAAAAATGAAATCACTAAAGCACCAAGAGGGAACCAACAACCAATCCAAGAACAAACCTAGGAAAACACTTCCCAAAGCCAAAGAAACCAACATCCTAAGTAAGGAAGGAGGTGGTAACAACCCAAGAATGGAAGGAGGTGGTGCACGCACCCGAGCAAGAGCTCTGCACATCTTCCAAAGGAGACACGAAAAATCGTGTTTGGAATTAGTCGTTGTAGCCCATGGGGGTCGATAGATCCAAAAGGGAGATAGAGTTCTTGAAGAAACCATATAAGAAGGGAGGAATTTAAAGAGAGTTGGGAAATTAAAAATAAAAAGAAAGAAAGATAAAAGAAATGGAATGAAGAGGAAGATGGAAATTGGAAATTGAAAGGGGTATCAAGAGGGAGGGAAGGAGGGGTAGTGACCACCTCCGCCCTTGCTGCATTGAAAGATTGAGGGTTTGATAGAGAGGGTGCGGCTTAATGTCTTACTTATGTCAAATTTTTCACTTTTTGGATGAATTAGTGGTAAAACCCGATGAAATACAGAGTAATTAACTAGATCCAAATTGTAGCTCCACTAAGCAATACAATCAGTAAACACATGTATCAAACTTTCCCATAAACTCCCAACATATTATAGCTTGAAACCAAAGACGCCATAGGATGTGAACCAAGAGTATAGAATTCTGCATCAACTTAACAGATTACGAATACCCCATATTTGAGCCTCAAATACCAGACCTTTGCACAAATTAGCAGCAAACCCATAAGTCCAATCAATCCCCAAAGAAATCAAGTATAACTCCCCCTAACCAATGCACCCAGAAGCACTTTTATGCCCAAATTTTGCACTTTTTAACCCTAACTCATTCGCAACTTCTTTTTGAGCCAACCCATTCTTGTTCATAATAATAATTCATGCTTAAGGTTTCTGCCACCTAATTGTTGTTGATAATAACTCATGCTTATTTGTAATTTAAGTTTAAAGAACTATATAAGGTGGTTAAGTCCCACCAACCTTAACATTCAACAAAGTTCTAGGAAACATTTCCATGATCATACTGTTGACTATTGACTCAAGATTGCACCCACGTGCAAAGTTGCTGTCGGCTACTTAAATTGGTAGTTGGTTGATTGGCAAACAAATTAAGATGAGAATGCATTAATTGGCCAGCTGCTTGTGGGAGACAAAGCCATGCAAATATAGTGGGCTGTTTTGACTTCATAGCTGGTCTCATAACTGAAGTAGCTGGCCTTCACCCGTTAACTTCTCTATAAAAGGAGAAGCATGGCTGTTGCGTCTACCCAAGTGCAAGTAGTCACACATAGTAATAATCTTGGAAGTCCAAGTATCGTATCCTCAAGGAGCAGGTAGGCAAATATATGCACACAAAGAAATAATTAAACGTACCACAATAAAAGTGACAAGCAAAATGGAAAAGTAATTTGATTTGATTGTAGTGGAAATTGAGTTTAAAAATGAAATATTAAGAATGGAATTGCTAAGGCATCAAGGTTCAATTCTTTAAACAAAATATGTTTCATGCTCTTTAATCCAAATTATAACTCGATTAAAATCATCATTGAGAAACTTTAACCAAAAGATAAAGAAATTAAAACCAATTTAATTTTTCAATGTAATCTTTTATTAATGATTGTTCAGAAAATGAAGTTGCTTAATATCTAATCTTTTAATTTAAAAGCATGCCAAGTCAGTTCTTAAGAATGAGAAAAATATAATTGAACTCATGAAAAGATAATAGCACTTAACATCAATCAAAATAAAAGGATATGAAAATATTGAACAACCAAGAATAAAAGAATTTAGCAATTCATACCGTATATTGGATTAAAGAACAATTCACAAACTTACTCAAAGAACATTCCCTTTAGCCTTAGCTAGAGTTCTAGCAACTCATTACAAAAGAAAACATAAAATAAATGGATAAAGAAATATGTCGTAGGGGTGCCCTTGCCAAATAAGTTGATGGGTGGTTCATAGTAGTCAATGAGGTGAGTGAGAAGTTAATACATTCGTGGTGGGTGACGAAGGGTTTAATTGAGGGATTAATTGGATTAAACATGTGTTGATGGTGAAGAGTTAGTGGAAAAGAAATAACGGTGAGGTAAGTGGGCGTTAAATGGCTATGAATGACAT